ACTGAATTATGTTGATCTATTGCCATGGCTATGTCATTGTGGACTCCAGTAAGAGCCGTCTCTGTACTATGGTTTCTCTTATAGGCCGATTGATATGTTTCACCAAGGTCATTAATATCTAAGTATTGAATAAGCTGTTTAGCAACACATTTTTCAATAGTTTTGGATATGAAACGAAGATTAGAAATAGGCCTATAGTTCTTGAAGTCGATCGAATCCAGAGAGGGCCTTTTGAGCAATGGCTTAAGTATAGCTTGTTTAAGTATTCCAGGCATCCGACCAGTTTCCAAGGAAAGGTTGACAATCTGGTGTATTACTGGGAGAATAGAAGGAAACAGACATTTAAGTACATGACCAGGAACAGGATCTAACTCAAGGACTTAGGGGTAGTTGAGCCGATGATACTCAAGAGTTCATCCGGTGGAACAGTCGAAAACATGTTCAGTTGACAGCCTGTAGTACCGTTATCTACAGCAGTATCCAAAGGTGGGACTTGATCAAGGTCACGAAGGATTCTTCGGATCTTGTCACCAAAGAATAGAACAAAATCATTGGCCAAAGAAGACGAGGAATCATGCTTTGGGCCGTGACTTCGCCTCATGACGTCGATGAAGTAGTTTACTAAAAACTGCGAAAAGCGATCTCATGTTAGACTGATTCTCAGCAACTAGATTTGAATAATAGTTACTTCTTGATGAAGATAGCAAGTCCTTAAGAACTTTACATTTACGCGTGTAAGCTTCACGATCACGCATAGAACGGGAAGCACGCCACCGTCGCTCAAGCTGTTGTTGTTTGTTTTAAATTCATGTATCAATTTATCTACCAACTTGAAGTGTTTGCAGATTTTTGTTTTTATGATATTTCATTTATCAGTGAGTTAATTGTTATAAAGTATATTATATAATGTGACTCAATTTCAATACTTGAATGAAAATTTTTGTTTTATTCGTTTTCTTTCATTGTTCTCTTTGCCCTTTGCTTCTACCTTATTCTTTTTAACAGTGAATAAAAAATTTTGCCGCATACTGCATGTGCAATTTTTTTCAACAAATTTGAATTAACATATTTTGATTAATAATCTGTTTAAAGTATCTTTATATTCTAATTCGCTGCCCCGCTCAAACGAATATAAAACATTTATCATGTAACAAGCAACCTCAATTGGGGTGTGTCAACACGAGCCGTGTGCGACCCTCTTTATTATGCCTTCATCAACAGAATGGATGGAAATAATACAACAAACAGAATGAAAACTCGGAAATGTAAAAAATTACAGCAAGAAAAACAACCCAACAAAATGATCTAAACTATGCTCGTATAACAATGATTCAGTGAACATACAGAACGTGCTAAACCTTTCATATAGCAGCATGCAAAAAACTACGTCTAAGAGAAACCCCTGATCACTGGGTATTTAATTTTGAGGGCGTAGGGACGGTCGTAAGACGCGAATGAATATAAATGAGAACAACTCAAATATATATAGCCTATCGCTAATGAAGCAACCGAACAGCATACCATGTAACACCCCAAAGAAAAGGTTACATAACCTATGATAAATACATTCATGTGTACCAATGTACCCTCTGGAAGTTCTGAAGTTGTGGAGGTACGTATTTTTTATGTCTTGCTTTAGTAATCATTCATTATAAGGTGGACAAATTGTTCTGCTCTTTTTCAACAGCTTTGGCTGAAATCAATAAAATTTTAAGTGCTTTTCAGAAATATTTAAAATTATTTATGCTTCAATTACACCAGCAGAATTGCACAAGACTAAAATTCTAGAAATGTCATAGTGCATTATACATTTAAAGTTTGTACAATTGTTGTTTCTTGACCGTGAATTAAATAATTTCGACAAAATATTGACATTTATTAATATCACCTACACATGCATGTTTCAGTTCTGTTGTTGGGTTTTTTTTCAAGGTACAAGTAAATATAATTCAGTGCAGCCTTTGCAGGTGATTTCCGGTAAGCATTGAGCCGAATTATAAATGTACCTTTAAAGGCTACATTCTGTTATTACCAATAAATATTTGAGTAGATTAAGGGCTAGTGTTTAAGAGAGCAAATGATCAATTTTCAAATAACAATGCACTTCAACTGAGCTAACCAGAACTCAAAGCAGATAAATGCACATGCAAATACATGTAATTATAATCAAGTGAGAGGAAGTGCACAGTGGAATAATGTTCCAATAATTTTTATTGGATTTACCAATACTTCAAAATGTTCGGGGAACAGTTTTTCGAACAATAAAATTAAAGTTGTTGTCAAGAGATCCAGCGATCTCAGTCAATTGGACTGTGAAGTTAAGAACAGAGCAACAGCTGAATGTGGAATAATAGTATCCAGAGTTTCAGTTTTCACTCTTTTATTTACATTCTTCGTCTTCAGGTGACAGCGACGAAGAAAAACAGGTAATTTTTGGAGTTTTGCTTTAACTTAATATAAATTCAGGGTTCTCCCATGTTTCTACCATAACGGGAAAACGACTGAGCTTTTCCAAGTGGTAAAATATGTGTAACAATTTTAGGCGGTCGTAGAAGAGATGCAACAGCCCATAAATTTTACAATATGAACTTCTTTTTTAGGCACTTGATGAAGAAATCCTTGCAACAAGCGAACAAGCGGAACAAGCAGGTAAGAGTTTTTTGAAGTTCGAACGAACCTTCCTTCCCTGAGTTGTTGGATGATCACAGAGATGACCTCTGAAAGGTTTTCCTGCCATGTTGTTTTTTTTTTAAGCCTGACTTAAGTCAATTTCATGGGATTATAATTTTACCGTGGTATTGTTTCTGCTTAGGTACTGGAGGCAAATAACAGTTAGTTTCACTCATATTTATGTGTGTACCATCTTTTACGAACAAAACATATGCGTGTAAAAAGGTAAATGTAAGGATTGAGCCAGTTTCGGCGAGATCAAGAACTGGGATTTGACGATCGATTGTGGATAATTTCCTATGACCACAATGACAACTTTTTAAATTGCTTTGTAAGGTGATAAAAATGCATAAATAATCTTCTTCGGAACTGTGGGGGTATACATGTAGCTAGAACCGGTTTTGTTGATTTCTTAATTCGCGAAAAAATGCATGGAGAACTTAAAAGTTTCAACTATCAGGAGTTTCCAAAAATGGAGGGTTAGAAAAATCGGTTAAAAAAGGACAGTGTCTGACGGAAGCAAATCTAGGGGAAACGGAGTATTCGAAAAATCCTGGATAGGGAACCTTTCAAACCTTAAAGGATAAACTATTTTAAGGGAGTGGTTCCCCACCCCTCCAAACTACCACCACCCTCCTGTCCAGGTAATGGGGGACAGAATGTGATTGTACATCTTGCAAGAAAACTATTGAACTTTTGTTTTAGTGTATGCAGAAGCTCATTCGACGCAACCAAAGAAAACAAATCGAAAAGGTACAATCAGAGGCATATTATATGCTTCCGGTACAATATAAAGCAGTTGTTTAAACAACACATGATAATAAAAGGAAAAGCAAGTTACTGTGAAAAGTAAAATCTTGCACTGGTATTTCTATGTATGTTTTTTGGACAAGATTAAACCATAGTCCTTTGGTTGGATCACATCGTTTGTTTTAAGGTAACAACTCGCGTTCATTCAAACTCGCTAGCATTGTAGAGTAGAAGAGGACAAAAACTGGCTAACAGCTACAAACGGAAGCAAGCCGCAAGGAAGCAACTTTCGGAATTTTATGGTATCCAATCAAAAACATCGCAGAATCGCAAACTACCGAGAGCAGCTGTCTGTACTTTGACAGTTCGGATGTTTGTCCCTCAGTATTCACAAGATAAAAAAAAGTATTATAGTTCAAAACGTAAATCAACGCCCGTACGTTTACTTGAAATGAACCCTAAAATCTAGTTTTTGTTTCCACACCAAAGATAGGAAATCAAATGTTTCAACTATTCAGTTCATTGTCTTTTTTATCCTTTATTTTTACGTCCTTGTAACTGAACATTCCCGCTTTCTCATTCACACTCAGCTATTTACTTCTTATTGAATTCATCTTACCACTGCATTACTTCATTCACGCGCGTACGCGTCTTCTTTACAGTTTGACCTGACAACACATAGCTTTGTTTTTCAATTACAACAAGGGATCAGTGTAATTATTTTGTACTAAATTTAAATTTAATTTAATTCATTTTTATAAAATAGAATTTTGAGCATCACGTAATAAAGATATTTATTTGTCCATTAGTTCTGTGATTTTGCCATTGTCTAATAGTTAAGTATCGGTCAACGTCACAGATAAAAGTTAATTTGGAAAAATTCGTTGGAAAGGGAATGCGCCTCCAAAGCAGCGCTTTTCATTGCTACTAGGGGACAAGTAGTAGGATACCAAATCAAATTGCAGGATTATACTGACAATAAATAACTCCATGTAAATCCCGGGGGATACCGACACTCCCTTGTATAAGCCAAACAGTTCAGTTCTGGTATGTGTCATCCCAAAGGGTATGGTTTCTTTTTGCGCACTTTTTGGTCTTTAAACGGGTATAGATTTTGCCCATTTTGGTCTAGAATCGAGTATGATTTTCGAGGGAGTTACAGGAGTGCATGAACTTAATTATCGTTTCAACTCCAAATTAGTAAGCAATAAAGAGAAATATGCGATTTCGAAATGGCTTTAAAGAATTTTTTTTCTTTGAGATGATGACATTACTTCTGCCTAAAGATCAGGTCTGAAAACGGGTATGGATTTGCTCTGGTCTGGTCGGAAAACGGGTTTTGTTTTGTCGTTTGTTCTATATTTTTTTTTGTTGCGCGGAAGCACCTCAAGTAACCAAAGTAAGCACAGCACCTCAAGCAAGCAAAGCACCTCAAGTAATTAAGAAAAGCACCTCAAGTAAGCAAAGCACCTCAAGCAAGCAAAGGATCTCAAGCAAGCAAAGCACCGCAAGCAAGCTAAAGCACCGCAAGTAAGCAAAGCACCTCAAGCAGGCAAAGCACCTCAAGTAAGCTGAAGCACCTAAAGCAAGTAAAGCACCTCAAGTAGGCAAAGCACCTTAAGTAAACAAAGCACCTCAAGCAAGCAAAGCATCTCAAGTAAGCAAAGCACCTCAAGTAAGCTAAAGCACCTTAAGTAAGCAAAGCATCTCAAGCAAGCAAAGCACCTCAAGTAAGCTAAAGCACCTTTAGTAAGCAAAGCACCTCAAGTAAGCAGAGCACCTCAAGTAAGCAAAGCATCTCAAGTAAACAAAGCACCTCAAGTAAGCAAAGCACCTCAAGCAGGCAAAGCACCTCAAGTAAGCTAAAGCACCTTTAGTAAGCAAAGCACCTCAAATAAGCAAAGCATCTCAAGTAAGCAAAGCATCTCAAGTAAACAAAGCACCTCAAGTAAGCAAAGCACCTCAAGCAGGCAAAGCACCTCAAGTAAGCTAAAGAACCTCAAGTAAGCTAAAGCACCTCAAGTAGGCAAAGAACCTCAAGCAAGTAAAGCACCTCAAGCAAGCAAAGCACCTCAAGTAAGCTAAAGCACCTTAAGTAAGCAAAGCATCTCCAGTAAGCAAAGCACCTCAAACAAGCTAAAGCACCTTAAGTAAGCAAAGCACCTCAAGCAAGCTAAAGCACCTTAAGTAAGCAAAGCACCTCAAGTAACTAAAGCACCTCAAGCAGGCAAAGCACCTCAAGTAAGTAAAGCACCTGAAGTAAGCAAAGCACCTCAAGCAGGCAAAGCACCTCAAGTAAGCAAAGCACCTCAAGCAAGCAAAGCACCTTAAGTAAGCAAAGCACCTCAAGTAAGCAAAGCATCTCAAGTAAGCAAAGCACCTCAAGCAAGCAAAGCACCTCAAGCAAGCAAAGCACCTTAAGTAAGCAAAGCACCTCAAGCAAGCAAAGCACCTGAAGTAAGCAAAGCATCTCAAGTAAGCAAAGCATCTCAAGTAAGCAAAGCACCTCAAGTAAGCAAAGCACCTCAAGCAAGCAAAGCATCTCAAGCAAGTAAAGCATCTCAAGCATCTTAAGTAAGGGATGCAGGCAAAATATATAGACAACTATATGATGGCTTGACATGAAGTACTTACCCTTTATAGACACACCTTCAACCCTCATGGCCGCTCATATCCTTCGAAAGTTTGACTGCTATCCCATCAATCATTGCGACACCTTTCTCGTACGTCATTGGCTCGCGTCATTTTGGCGTCAATTTTAATTTGTTTTGACAAAAAAATTTTTTTTTTTTGTTACGACAGAATTTTGTTCCGCATTTTTCACTCTTTTCTTACGTTTACCCTAGAGGAGCCATTTCTTCCCAGACGTAAGTATTTCTCTACGGAAATTCTTCTCATCCCTTATAATTGTTTTTAATTTTGGGCCTCCTTATTTCCAGGACTGACCTTTTTTCACTACCGGCATTTTCGAAGAAACCCCTTTGTTTTCGTGGTAAGATATTGTTAACTACTCAACTTTAAACTACTCAACTGACGCTTTCCGCTTTACCGTTACAATTCATTTCTTTTTTATTTATCGTTTTCCAACTCCATTTACATACAAAGAGAGTATATTGTTCTACTCAAAGTTTATTTCTTTGTTTTTTTTTTGTTTGTTTTTTTTCCCCTTCTTCTTCTTCTTCTTCTTTTTCTTTTCTCTCTCTCTCTTCTCGGCTACCTCCCGGCCATCTCTCTCCTCTCTTCCTTTTTTCTTCTCAAGGACTCGACACAGAGGATGTCGGGCAAAGGCTCGGCACCGGGCCAGAAACATCCTCGCTCAGTTGTGCTTTGCCCCTGAAGATTCACAACATTAGAGGAGCCTTGGTGTCGATGCATCCTTTTTCTTGCCATACCTGGGTATTCCCATTCTCCTTCACACTCTATTTGTTCCTCTCCTACTTCCTTTTTTCCTTTAATGAAAATAAGACAATTTTTGTCATAACTTATGACGCTAATTAATAGTTATCAGGACCTGCGACCAATCATTTTAAATTCTCTTTCGAAAAAATATTTTTAAAAATTACAAGTTGTATTCCTTATAATTATTAATGTCAACGAACACAAAAGAACGACTAACAACTTACCATTAAATTTATCTTTCTATTACATTTTTGTAATATTTCAAATTAAACTACTTATAATAGTTTTATTATGAAAGTTCTTATCCTGTACATTTCTTTCACCCCCCTCCCCCCCCTTTTTTTAATGGGAGCTTACATGTGACATTTTCCTTTACTTAATTCTAATCTTGTATTTTGTCCAATATCTCAAACTTTATTTTAAAGTATTATCCAACATTTTCAACTTTTATTGAAAAGAAAAATTTTCAGAGTCAATAATTCCTTGAGTTTTTTAAGAACGAATATATTTCAATCTCATCTTAACTATTTCAGTGATTCGATAAGTTTTTAAGAACGACTATACATCAATAATTATGTGAAGCTCATATAGTGTTTTTACTATATCAATTAACAACCATCTGGCTTATTATAATTTGTTTTCACCTAAAAAGCAACTTTACGTTTTCATTTTTTAACAAACATGTTTTTTACTTATCATTATTTTTAAAGAGAAAATTGCACATTAAAGTTATTGAAGTAATTCCTTTAAATTTTTTTTTTGTTGTTTTTGTTTTGTTTTGTTTTTGTTTTTTTTTTTCCTTTGTTTACCCCGGAGTCTCTCCTTATTATTCATTTATTTTATTTTATTTCACTCTTTCTATTATTTATTTTAGTTCATTTAATTATTATACATTTTAATTATTGATTTTTTTTTTCTTTTTTCTTTTTTCCTCCTCTCTCCTCTTTATTTTCAACTTTCCAAGAGGTTGACATGACTGCTTTGCAGTTTGCCGGACCCTCTTTTCCCCTTTCATCTTCCTATCATCCTTCATATTATTTTTACCCTCTAACCCCTCATCCTCTTATACTTATCCTAACTCTATTTTGAGGTTGACATAGCTGTTCGACAGTTTGCCAGTCCCTCAATACTTATTCTTTTTATTTTTCAACTAATATATTTTATTTAATCCTATCCTTATTAGAATTTCAGAAATTATTACTTCCTACTAAATAAATGTTGCACTTCTTTGAGGTAGACATAGCTGCTCTGCAGTTTGCCCGTCCCTCATTATCAGTGCTAATCTTAATATCTAACATTTTTGTTCTTTTTTATACACACAACACCCTTGTATACACGCATCCTCCCTCCCCACCTTACCCACTATTTTAGTGGAGACTCAATGGGAACCCTTTCATTAGGCATTCCAGACCACACCTGTAATGCCACAAAGGTTGCTAGATATATTTATTTATTTATTTATTTATTATTTTCCCACAATAAAGATTACACAAGCATTACATTATACAAAGATGTGGCGAGGGGACCTCAGAAAACCACAAGGCTTGTACGAGGAGGCCCCCTCGTTACAATAATATTAAGCAATAGAACTATAACAACACACAACAACGGACAGTACAAGACGCATTATCGATATAGTAGAAAATCACCTTACATTATTCGTGAATATATTATCAATAAGTGTGGCCGAATGAGCAGTGATCCGAGTCGGTCTATTGATTAGAGGAATGAACATATGGGAAAATAGACTATCAACAAATTCTTGAGTAGGGGCATGATCGGAATAGTGAAACAGATCTATATTGTAGTCTCCACCCAAATAACAATATTTGTCATTTCTAGTTATTTTAGCAAGAATCTCATTAAATTTGTCCAAAAAGTCCCGAGTGTTATAATTAGGCGGACGATAAACAGTACCAACTATAATATTTTTCCCATTGGGAATGTTAATTTCAACAAAAAGAGTTTCGATCACTTCAGGTTCAGAATAATTACAATCGCGGCATAATTTGTATTCTAAATCGTCAAGTAAATAAAGACCTGCTCCACCGGCGGACTTGCTATCGCGGTGGTTCGAAATAAATTTATATCCAGGTATTTCCACCTGGTCCGACGTAAGCTCAGTTAGCCAGGTTTCCGATACGCATATGGCAGAAAATGGATTTTGCAAATGACTAAGCAGGAATTTAAATTTATCTAAATGACCGATTAGGCTTCGTGTATTAATATGAAATACAGAGAAGCAAGGAGAATTTGAACTATTAGTTAGCTTAGCATTAATTTCATCCTCAGTATAATAATTACTAGGAGGAGGAGAAAAAGTAAACTGTTGATCTGGATCTAACTCATTAAAGAAAAACTGATTAGAGACAGACGAATTATCAATTGGGTTGTACAAAAGAGAGCTTAATCGTTCGCTATCATAATGTAGAGGTCCATGCGTCATTTCATATAAAGCAATATTAAAATCGTTATTGCCTAAATGAGAAAAAGGGAGCTCAGGCTCAGGGAGCTCAGAGTCAGAAGCCATTTGGCTTCACTGGCTAATAATTAACTGTCAATGTATATAGCCCGATACTTAGCTTTGTCTTGAGTTCTTGAACTCCTCAAAATTTGCCATAGACATAAAAGAATAGACTTGGGATGCTGGGTTATCATCTTTACGCAACAAAACTTTGCCATTCTTTGTCCAGGCAAACTTGAAGTGATTTACCCTCTTGAACTCTTTAACCTTAGCCAAAAGCTCGCGGTTCTTCTGGGTCAAGCTCTCGTTGATATACAAGTCAAACTCTTCGGTAAAACCAAGATCCATAGCTGTCTTACTCCTTATCTCTCTCTTTCTGCTCAACAAACGGTCACGGACATTACGACGACAGAACTTTACAATTATTGGAGGGGCATTTCGGCCTTCTCTACTTGGCAGACGATGGCTGATAGAAATGTCGGCCAACGAGATCTCAAGCTCAGGATCAACCAACTCCACAAGCTTACACACAAGATCGTCTGTTTCTTCATCAGGTCGCGTAGGCACGCCATGTATTTCCAACATATCACGACGAAGATACTGCTTTAATGCCTCGCTGTCGTTTTCGACTTCCTCCAGCTTAATTTCGCACTGTTTAAGCTGCCCTTTCAGGGCATCTACTTCTGATCTCAGGCGCCGGTTCTCCGAAGTTAGATCTTCAGTTGCCTTCTTAGCCTATCTATCTGTCCTGTTTTTTTTTTTTTTATACAAAGCTAACGTTTTGACTGAACCTGTAGTTTCTCTATTGCTAGGTTTTAACGATGTGCGAATAGAAAAGAGGTGGGTGTGGGGGGGTATTGCCATATATGGGCTATAGGTATGTGCCGCTGTGAAGGGTAATAGTTTTCAAGCAGTTTGCTCTGGGATAGAGTATATCACAGAACGTTTGGGTCTAGAATAGGGTATCATTTTCAAGGAAACTGATCAATTGGTTGAAGATTTTAGCCTGGAATAGGGAAACCGGGAATTGCCACTAAAAAATATTTAAAAAAATCAAATCGGCATCATATCTAGGATAAGGGGCGGGGGATTTGAAGAGTTTAGTCCAGTATAGGGTAACAAAATTCAGCTGAACTAGCTCTGGTGTAGGCTAAGGGTTCCAGGGTCGCAGCGGCACATCCCCACCCAAAAATTCCTAAAGTACTCCCATTCCCGGGCCTACGGGTTATATTTATTTTTTTATCTGTGTATATATGGTTACTCCATTTGTTTCTACTTCATGGTAAGAATAGTATCGCAAGCAAATGCCCATCAACGAACAGCGACCTCCGAAGCTCAAGAAAACTCGAAAAAAATACTGAAGACAAGACAGAAGCCATGCTTGATATCCCAGCGAAACCACAGACTACAGAAAATACTTCACAAACAACCATTTCAACAACTTTTCTATTGTGCAACTGCAGAAAATATTGCCCAGCTGTTAACAGCACCAAACTAGAGGTAAGTTACCGCCGTTTGTTTTCGTATATGTTGATGCACGAAGTTGTTTATTGAGGAAACGCTATATGAGTAGCAGTTGAGTTATTTCTTAGGTCAAAATGTAAGGCAAGACAAAAGAGTAAATAATCTTAACTTAGTCGCGAGTAAGTTTCGCCATATTGAAACGGTAGAGAAATCTTTATCTGAAAAAGTCAGTTTGGGGGTACAAAAAATTCTAGACCGCGAGTGGTCGTCCTTCTTTCCTCAGAGCCACGCGCGGCGAGAGAAAAAGTAAAATTATGAGAATTAAATAAATATTCTTTGCTTAACATGGGCTTCCGCCCTTGTTCCTCGCTGTTTCGCCACTTCCCCCACCCCCTCCAACGCATGTTCTCGATGTACTGTGTCTCACAAGAAAAATTATAGACTGCTCGAGGTCTAAAAAAATTTATCAAGAATCATGGCTCTTTCATCCTTTACATTTGCTTCACTTTGCTTGTGGTAAAACCTCGTTCTTCCCTTTTTCTAGTTATAGTTTTTGTCTGACATTTTCTCAACTATTCATGAACGATATCAGTTTATTTTGGCCGAAGGATGCACATCCTTAATATTTTGTCTAATGTTGATTTTATTACAGTCTTTTAAAGCTTGTGTGGTTTGGAAACAACCCCATCTCCTGTAAGAAAACTGGACAACTTGAAATCGAGAAGAGACCTTATTTAGCGTTCTGCTCCTTCGATTGTTGTCGGAAGTGCAACTTGCAGTACCATAACTGTGTGTTAAACGCAGCTAATAATCAAGATCACTGCTTGAGCCAGGCTTATGGTTGTGCGTCAAAATGCTTGACCGAAAGTTCCATGAACATAACGATAGAGGGACTGGTGACATCAAGAATCTGACGACAACAAATTTCAAATTAATGACTTAAATGCCGCGGTATGGTGAATGAAGAGAAGATCACCTGGAAAACGGTCGCGTAAAGAAACTGCGTTTCTAAGAATAAAGAAAAATGCAGAACAGCTCGTTTTTTTAAAGGTACTGTGGTACCTCTATGGAGCCCACACCTCCCCCACCCGTAAGGGAAATTTTTCTCGAGAGTATTACCCAGATACTATAGCGACAATGTTTTGTCAGGAAGTTTAGGAGTTACCCTAACAAGAAAGTTTCGTAACCTGCTATAGAGAATAGCATGATTGATTGAAGGATTTGTTGGCGTTGCTAACAGGGAACTTAAGGCTGACAATGTAGCGGATAGATTTGACGCCGGCACAAAAACCGTATTACTAGTTCAAACATAAAACGGTGATTTCGGCTCGATTTATGTAACGGAGCGATACTGCGTTGCGCCAATGTTGAAGATTGAGAGTCCTCGGGTAGGTGTTTATAAATCGATGAGGTGGCCGATTCATTTCTGGCCTGTTCCAGGCGTGTAAAATTTGGAATGCGGCACAAAGTCACAGCGGCGGGGGAAAAAAAAAGGAGGGAGAGGTGGAGAGAGGAGGGAACCTTCCTTTGCTCGGCTCAACCCACGCTGTTTTTCTTTTCACATCTTTTTGTGCTGTTCCCAGAAACTGAACGCTTGGAACAGGCTTACACGGCTCAGTTGACCTGTGTAATGACTACTTAACGAATAGATTCCATGTTGCATTGCGCGGTGCGCCTGTTCAGTAATTCCAGAAGACGTCAAAATGTGGTAAAAACAAAAATGCGGCACTGAGCCGCACTGAGCCGCATGCGAGTGTGTCACTGACGTTTTAACCAAATTTTGACGTCTTCTGTGATCTATTAGTGAACAGACCCAGGGTTACATGGAATCTATACATTTTACATAATGAGCAGAAAAGAAACAACGACATACTTGCCTCAGCTTTGCCTCGTATCGCTCCCGGGGGTACTGCCATATATGGGCTATATAGGTATGTGCCGCTGTGAAAAGTAGGGTTTTCAGGCAGTTTACTATAGGATAGGGTATATAAATCAGAGCGTTTGGGTCTAGAATAGGGTATCATTTTTCAGGAAACTGATCAGTTGGTTGAAGATTTTATCTAAACTAGGGAAACAGCTACTCTAGGATAGGGCGATTTGGGGAGTTTACTCTAGTATAGGGTAGCAAAATTCAGCTGAACTAGCTCTGGTATAGGTTAAGGGTTCCAGGGTCCCAGCGGCACATCCCCACCCAGAAATTCCTAAAGTACCCCCCTCGGTATCGCTTTACTGTTTGAGGATTTGTCCTAGATTTTCAAGTCGTTCAAGAACTTTTCTCGGTTTATTTTTTTTTTTTCTTATTTATAAACAGCTCCTAGTAACACATTTTTAAAAGGTTTCCACTTGCTTAAAACAAACTCGCAAACAATTTCAAAATCGCGGCCATGTTGAACAAAACATAGAAAAGCAAGTCTCCACGTCATCCATGTGTCTGCACTCTAATATATCATCACCACATTGTTTTAATGCGTGATCAATATATACATGGATATTGTGATCGGTTAGATGGGTACATGTAACTTGCGAACTAGCACCCAGGTATGAGATCTTGCGCAGGAGAACAGTAGCGTGGTCCATGCTATCAAAAACTTTTACAAGATGAAATAGTATAAAGATAGAAATCTATTTAGCGTCCATGGCCAGTCTATGTCCATCCTTGTCATCCATTGCAAAAAAGACAACAGGGGACAGTTTAAAAGGCCAAATATGACGTTTTTAACAACAAACCTCGGGACCATTATATTTGGAATTCAAATGATGCGCACTAATTGAAAGGGTTTTGCTTTTTAAACTGATAGCCCTGACGCAGCCTTTTAAGACAATTTTGCTTAAAATAAATAACAATTATTCACCCAAGTGGAGGTGGCTAGTCGGGAATATTTACTGAACTGCGGAGAGGTAAATATCCACGACTAGCCACCTCCACTTCGGTGAATAATTGTTTTAGTATATACTAAAACAGTGAGATAATTGACCACAAAAATGATGATTTTTAACTCAAATACTGTTGCAAACGATTATAATTTTGGCGCGTAATGACCGGGCGGCTGCGGCCGTCGCTTTTTCTTGCCAACAATTAAAATTTTTGAAGGCATTTGTTTAGCTCTTGCGGGGAAATTTCTTCAAAAGGAGTTGTGAATTCTTTTTGTATTTAAGATCATTCTATAAAAAAAGATTATTAAACTTAGTTTTAAGCTTATTTATGAAGAACTCAACTAAATAAAGTAACGCAAGACTTAAACTTAATTTGCATTTGTAAACAAAAAACTTTTTCACCGGTTTTATCGATATATTCGTGTCAAAAAGACAAAGCTTTACCTGTTAAAACTTCGTCACCTTCTTCGTGTATTTCGGAAACAGCTTGCTTGATTAGTTGTGAAATTTCTTGGTTTGTTTACGGCAGCAAACCGGGAAGGCATTTTGCTCGCAACTTACCCGATTTTGGCGTCGCTCGCTCGGAGGAACTGGAGGTGAATCAGTGAATAGTGCAGGATATTCACTGATTGAGTAGCCAATCAGAGCGCGCGAAAAACACTATCCACTGTTTTAGTATATACTAAAACAAATTGTTCGACTGCGTTGGATCATGAGTCGAACGTTTA